TTATATATATACATAATAGTGAATGAATGAATTAGTGTTATGAACAACATTAATGTTGTTTAAATAACATCGAATCAATAATATCAATAGATTACAGTTCAATAGCATCAACATAACAATAAACTGAATGTCAGAAAAATTAGGAAAGATAATATTACAAATTCATGAATTTATAGTCTCTACTGAAGGCCAGGGCAGTAGTAGGGGCTGGCTGGACTTGCTTCTTTTGCACACAAAGCACTGGTTGTTTGAGGCGAATCGCAATAGCTTCTGCTGTTTGGAGCATGCGGTGCTTCGATGTTTTTGGCAATTTATTAGGCACCGGGTAGATGATAGAGAAGGATTCTTCAATTCTGGCTTTGTGGCCGGTTTGGAACAGGTGATCTAATATCGAACTATTGATGGTTTTTACTACACCTTTACTTAGCCATAGTGGGAGATGTTTCCAAGCACGAAAAATCAAGTTCCCAGAGCCAGGGCCAATATAACTCTCTCTACCACAAGCGCAGTTGAATTGGTAGACACAATTGGAAGTGTCTAATCTAGGTACTTCATCTTTCAGTCAAGGAGTCAACATCGGTCGTGTAGAGAATAAGACGTGTAGTTCGCCAGCATTAAAAGTTCTTTGAACTGATTTTCGTCATTCTTCGTAATTATCTCACTTGGTATATCGCCCTTGAATTGCAGTCGTATATAAAAAGGCTTCTTGTTTACGGATAGTGAGTAGTCCTTTTCCGCTTTCTTTGTCATGTGTTTCTTGATAAATTTGTCGGGATAGCTATTTTCAATCAAGGTATCATATACAATGCTTAATTCATCTTCAATTACTTCTTCTGAGCATAAAGCTCTAACCCTGTGGCTGAGTGTTGTTAATAACACTTATTCATTCATACTATAATATATATATAATTGTAGAAGCTGATGATGAAGTTATCGAAAAGAGTATTCTTTGTTCAGTAGCCATTCAATTTAATTTGTTTATTTTATCTCTAGTTGTAATCTCATGCTAATGTCGATGATTATACATTCAGAACCTCTATTTTGAAGTTAAATATTCCTAAATTATATAAACAAAGTTACACGCTATTGAAGATTTGAATTTCATGGATAGTTTGAGTCTCGTGCCACACATATCTGAAGATATACAAGCAAAAACCGAAAAACTGGTTGAACAGACGTAATAAAGACAGGACTTCAGGTGAATATAAAGAAGACAGAAGAGGGAAAGATACCTAATCACAACCACCACCACTAACAACAACAACTGACTGACTGGTTTTAACATAGAACTCTGTACATATGTGCAGCAGTTCAAGTTGCCACACTCCCTTCGTGTACCGTACAATGCAAGAGAAGGGGGTAAAGAGGGACAATAAACAAAAGTGTAGGGGGGAAAGAAGAGTAATGTGGGAGAACAACAGAGTTTTTTAGGATATGGCAAACCGCAAATAGTGAATGCATCTGCGCCATCATCGGGAGGGATTTTGAGCCACATCACCACTAAATGTCTCCAGCCGTCATTGCTTCTTATCATCCTGAGGACCCCAACCACACAGCAGTCTCCACCTCATTATGTGGTTAGCTCAGATTAGCTGTTAAAGATTTAATGAACTGATCCCATGTTTTGGTTTGATCGTCACTAGTTCTTTGACAAACTGAAACATCTTATGTCAGCTTATATTCGAGGAAAGCGATGGTTAGACATGCATAACACATGTCCTAACCTTCTCAGTCCATGTAACTTCAAAAATTCGTCGATTGATTTTCCCTCCTTACCTAACACTTGACCGATGCTTAACTTCAAAATTACTTACCCTATTATACCACATAACACGGGAGATAGGACGCAGATACCTCTGATCACAGACAGCCAGCAGGATATCAAGACTACTAAGCCAGAGATGGTGGTATGTACCAAAACGAGTTTTTTATATCCGTGCTGAGATTTCTTCAGCAATGAGTCTATTGGGTCTGATACAACTTCGAAAATAAGTAAAGCGGTCAACACGCTCAACTACTTTACTCCCTACCTTTAGGCTAGGAGTGGGTGTACACGAATACAGCAGTATCGTGCTACATTTGAAAGAGGTAAATCACATATGAAACATACCAGCATTTCTGTTCAAGATGTTCAAAAGACTATTGATTTTGTCATCGTCTTCACCTGGGGAGACTATACCGTCCTCATATTCTTAGTCGACTAAACTATAATTTGGTAACAAGTCAATCAATCCCTGAGTCGCTGAAATCAGTTAGGTTTGAGTCCATTAGTACATCTGTGATGAAGTTAAAGAGAAATGGGAACAGTGGGAATCCCTGACGGAAACCAATATTTGTCATCATTTCGTAAGCTCTCACCTGGCTGACTGCATGAGTTCGAGTAGAGTGAGTGCCTTGGTCAGTGCAGTATACTTTCTCGGCATTCCCTTCACAGCCAAGCATCGCCATAGTAATTCGCTGTTGGCGGAATCGAATGCCGCTTTCAGGTCAAGAAGTATGACGATTGTTGGACACCGATCGGTATGCCTATGTTCCAGAATCTGTCGAAGGGTAAATGTATATTAGCAAAACACTGTCTTTGTAGTTCAAAGCCTGTCTGACTTTCTCGAGTTTTTTTCTTCTTCTACCAACAACAAGCACCAATCAGCGTGAATGAAACACGAGGCAAGTTGTCTCTTTCACTGACCTCAACAGCATCGTTTCAACTATGGGCGAATAAGGATGCCGAACCAGCAAGAAGTAAACAACTCAGAACTTTATTTCACTTTTAGATTTTTCCGTCGATTGATTGGACCGAAGTGCTCGGTCTCAGGTTGACATGTCTGCTTCTTGTGCAGATGCTTCGACGATGTCTGGGTATGTAATTGGAAGTTAATTGGTGGATGGTGACTAGCAGTGGAATCCGGGATGCGCATTTCGTCCTATTTGGAACTCGTCATCTGGATGTACCTGCATTCCTCAGTGAGTGATGGTGTTCCCACCGAGGCTCGAACCCAGTGCCCATAGTTTCAAACGGCAAAGCGTTATCCAAGTGGTCAAGCGGTTCAGTTAATTTAACTGTACAACACTGTGTGATTTATTAAAATAAAATCTTATCCATTATGGAGTTATACTCTACCACAGTGCCCAAGTTTTATACTTATATCAAATATCGCATAAAATGCGTCGTTATTAAGGTGTATTAAAAAAACCCAATCGAGTGGATATCTGACAGCAATGTTTCGATTTTTTTACCATTCATTTACCGGTTGTTTAAAATAGAAATAGAAACATACATACACCCAATTATAATAATCAAGGTCATTCACATACTTCCTGTCCTTTTAGTTTGAAAAAAGGAAATCGATACCACCCTACCTACCTACCTATCTAGCCTAGTCTTTATGCTAATATTGATTTTTGTCCTAGATTTCTGACCTAGAAAGCGATAATAATAACGACGTCAACAATACTTCTTCTTAAAAAATACTAGATCATGTGACTGACTGCATGTGACCAAGACCTTGAAAAAGATTATCCAATCACACTAAAGAGCTAGAGTTTGACAATAAAATCTATTGCTTTTTCTTCGCCCTTACCAAGGTCATATTCATCTAAATAGGTAGGTAGGTAGATGTGAAATGTGTTAAAGCGAAGACATTATTATTATTTATTACCCAGAGAAAGGAGAAAAACAAAGAACATGCACACTCAGAGGGAAAAGATGAATTTATTTAGAAGAAATAATAAGTGAAATATATATATTTTCATCAGGTCTCTCTGATCGTTTTTTTTTGTAATAATAATCATAAGAGAATCTTAAGTAGATAGACATTTATGTACACATCTAAGGAAAAAAATTGTCATTCTCTCTCTGTGGTTGAATCGAATTAAATAGGGTGTCACAGCGCTGATGAAATCAAATAAATGCAAAGCTAATGATGATGTATTCATCAAAGATTAGAAACATTCACATTCCTGATACAAGCAACAAAATATTGTTAGTAGAGTCAGGATTGAATGAAGGAATTCATTCAATTTCGGCAGAACTCTTCAGCACCATGTGCACCTTAGGAGATATGTATATATATATATATGTGATTGACAAGTGTGAATAAACTACAATGATGAAACAATCGTCCAAGACATGACACGTAGATAGATAATAATTTTTGATGAAAATAATTAAGATTGTAATGGATTATTAATAGTCAGTCCAGCTACAATCAAACATTAGATTTATCGAAAATCCCACTAAGGATGAAAATAAAGAAATTCAAAGCACGTGTGATTATTCAATGAAGAGACAATTTTCAACGAAATCATCATCAAACTTTACACAACTGTATATATGTATGATTTTTTTCTCAATTATAAGTGTGACTGGTGAAAAGAAATATATAAAATAATTCATGAATGAAATGTAGAAATCTTAAGATTAGTGGGTAATTAAAGCATTACGCAGTACACAACAAGGTGAGAAATTATGGATAACACGACATATGAATGATGATATTGAATTAATTACACAGAAATATATCTAAAAGGCTTATACACAAGTGAAATAAATTCTGAGAATTGTTCAAAATGAAAATAATTATATATAATTAATAGCAATCGAAATAATCAAAAGGAAGGATGTATATATATATACAAATTGAATATACAAAAAAGGAAAAATAAATAGTACCCCAAAGGAGAAATAGGAATTTTAGTGATTTAATACAGATGGACTGAGGACCATAAAAGGGAGAGGAGAGGGGTGGTTGAACATATTTTTTCTGCTGGATACAAAGCTCTCTGGTTCTTTTCTGTTTCTTTGACCAAAGCTTCAGGAATACAGATAAATAATTCAAACACAATGATTTTGGGTTGATTATATTTCATCTTATATAGTAGACATAATTCTAAAGGTAATAATGCTATAGAAATAAGGACAAAACCGAAACTAGCTCCACAGGAGAGGAGATGAAATGATAATAGCACATAGAGAAACAGTCAACTGCAGGATCTTGTTCTTCAGGTGTTGTTTTCTTTGAACAGAGTAATGCTCAACAATGCTGGCGGTTAAATCCCCACCACACTGAATTCAATGTTCATTAATTATCACAGAGAAACAGAGAGAGGGGGAGGGAGAACTTGAAAAAATCACAAATATCACACTGAATAATTATAATAATAATAATACTAACAAAAGAAAGTGTTTAATGACAATTAATAAGTAAGGTACGTGGTGACCAACCCCTTCCAAATGGATTTCTATAAATATTAATGTAGAATACATATTCAGCAGCTGAAGAGGAGCACTTCTACCGAAATTATAAGATGAATTCATTAAAACAGTATTTATGGCTTGTTTGAAAACTGGCAGTGTAGTTGAGAACACAAAAGAAAAGAAACCTGATCAATCAATGCAGAAGGCAGTTACAGAGAGAACATACATACACATAGCAGAAAGAGAGAGGGGGAAGGAGTACTACAAAATAATAATAATAACAATACGTACACATTTCTATCTTTTTTTAAAATGATCTTTCACAAATATGATTAAACCGTCTAGCATGATGATAATTATTACTTTGATAACGACAATATCGACCATAGTAACAATTTGGTTTTAGGACAACTTCATCTGGCAACTGGTCTGAGCATATAGATAAACGATATTTATAGGCTAATTCACTCAGCACATGTTCTCCACAACTTGTACAAACCAGAGAATTTTCATTTAACACTGATGATGGATAGATAATTGTTGAACTGATAAATGTTGATAAACATTGTTCAATGAATCGTGGTATTGATATTCCTTGGGAGGTTAAATAATTCTGTGAGAGAAACAAAAACGAACCAAGAAAACTGTGAAACATATTCATGAGATATCTCGATGATAGGAGCCAGCATAAAATTGTTTATGGTATAGCATATAATACAATAATCTTATAGTCACATGACAGCCTTTGTCTTTTGATATGTGTAGAACGGACAAATAGGCGTATTAGCGTACTAGTCGAGTTCATTGCCGTTACAGTAATTAACAGGCGCAGACATCTCTCTGTCTGTCTGGATTCAACATAGAACTTGGCACCAAAGTGCAGCAGTTCCAGTTGCCACGTTCCAAATACCACACAAAGGTAGACAAGAAAATAAGTGAAGAGAATCAATAGAGTTTTGACAAGTATAAGAGTGAAACACAATGAGTAATCGTAGAAAGGAATATGAAAGATTACAGAGACTGAATACACCTGCGTAAGCCATTGACAACGATTTTGAGCCATGTCACCTATTGTCTCCAGCCATTGATTCTTAGAGTCCCGAGGACGGGCCCCAACCCGGAAGTTTGCATCTCCCTCCCTACCTGGCTCAGCTTAACTGTCAAGGATTTCATGGATTGATGAGGCCATGTTTTTGTTTGGCCACCACTTACTCTTTTCCAACCTGCACCTATATCAGCTAGTAATGCCCGTCCGTCGGGAGAGGCGATGGTTAGGTATGCGCAGCACATGACCTAGCCATCTCAATCTATGTAACTTTATAGGCTCTTCGATTGATTTTCCCTCTTTGCCCAACACTCTACGCCTAACGTCAACATTACTTACCTTATTATACCACCTAACGTGAGAAAGAGATCGTAGACATCTATGATCAAAAACAGTCAACCTTTTCATGTCTTCAACTCGTATTGGCCATAGAGAAGAACGGAGATGAGCTGAGCAGTACACACGTCCCTTGGTTGATAGCCGGATGTTACGCCTACGCCAGAGATGGCGTAAGTTAGCGAAAGCAGCTCGAGCTTTTTGGACATAAATAAGTAGAAACGGGTTTATTCAGTTCAGCTCAGTTATAACAAATTGGTAACGTAGTTATAACATTCGCTTTAACGTATCTTCCTTATTCCTCATCGATAAAGTGTTAAAGTATTACGATCTATGGAATGCGTACCACTCAGGGATTGGCTTGTCACCATGAGGGAATAATCTCGTTGACTTAGAATATGCACATGATATAGTCTTTTCTTCCTAGGTGAAGACGCTAACAAAATAGAGCAGAGTCTTCTGAACACCTTGAGCTACAACGTGCGAATGTTTAGCATGCGATTCACGTTTGCCAAATGTGAGATGATGTTACTGGACTGGACTACATGGACTCACTTCTGGCTTAAAGATAGGCAAGGAGTGAAGTGGTTGTTGGTGCGTGTTGACCACTTCACTTATTTAGGGAGTTACATCAGCCAACGCCAAAGGGTTGATCGTTGAAGAAATCTCAGCACGGATACAGAAGGCTAGTTTCGCATATGCCAGTTTACACATTGTCTCTGGCATTGTAGACGTGATATCCGACTGGCTGTCGACCAAATGACGTGTATACTGCTCAGCAGTTCGCTCCATCTTCCTTTATGACTAGCTTTGAGACATGGCTATTGAAAGTGGAAGACATGAAAAGACCGGCTAACTGTATGTGATCGTAAGTGCCTACGTTCTATCTCCCGTGTGAATTGGTATAATAGGGTGAGCAGTATTAAGGTGAAACATCGGTCGAGTGTTAGGTAAGGAGAAGAAATCAATCGACGAGGCTGTGAAGTTGCATCGATTGAGATGGTTAGGACATGTGTTACGCATATCTAGCCTAGCCACCGCCTTCTTCGACAACAGGCAATGTTAGCTGACTGACATAGGATAACCTTGGGAAAGAGTTAGTGGTGGTCTAGACAAAATATGCTCCCATCAGTCAATGAAATCCACAGCAGTTAGTTTAGGCCACGTAGGGTAAAGTAGACTTCCTGGTTGGCGTCCTCCGGACGGTAAAAACCAATGACGGCTGGAGACAATTAGTGGTGATATGGCTCAAAATCGTTCTCATTGCTGGCGCAGATGCATCCACTTCTTGCGACTAATAATATCCAATAAAACTATTTTGTTATTCCATATTACCATTCTTTTCGCCTCATATCTCTGCTTACTGTCTCTGTTTCGCGTTTCTTTTTACTTTCTTCTCTTGCTTTGTGTGCTAAGTGAAGTGTGGCGACTCGAACTGCCACACATCGGTGCAAAGTTCTGCGTTTAAACCAGTCAGTCAGAATGTGACCTCGGGTCGACTAATCAGAAAAATCAGTGATTTTTTGCACAAAAAATGAGGTTTATTTACAAGAGAGGCAATATTAGAGAATAGACACCATGGTCAAGCGACCTTGAACCAACCAGTCAGATCGCTCAGCTTTACAAATAGATGCTTTTTATCATATCCGCTGCAAGTTTCACCCTGACTCAGGATTAAGGTTAGGTTAGGAGTTAAGATAAGGTTATGATTCAGGCTAGGTAAATCTTGCAAAGAAGATTAGGTTTAGGATGAAACTTGCAACGAAGATTACGAAAAGGACTGCTCCAGTGGAACCAGTTACAATTAGGCCGTACAATTAGGCATGTTTATCGTCAGATTTTCGAAAACCATCCTGAAAAGTGGTTAAGTAAAGGACACAATACAAAGTCCATTCATAGTTCTATACTATCTCATCTCGTCGATACAGAACACAAGATTGATGTTAACAAGGCAGCTTTCAAAGTTATCTAGCGTATTTTGAATTAATTGTGTTCTTTAAGGAGCCCCTGGATTTAATTGCAAAGCTTTCAACATTCTTCTAGACAACACATTCAGCGCTGAAGGGAAAAGTCAAGCCAACATCAATCAATCAATAAATAAACAGATACTGCTCAACTTACATTTAAAATTTCTGTTTCTATCCGATTATTCAATAATAAAGTTCGAGGAATTGTGGTGTATCTTGTTAAATCTGAAATGTGTTCAACAAAACAAGAAGAGTTTTGGTACACGGCGAAAAGAAAAAGAGAAAGAAAATGTTTGAATAAAGAAAGAACGAACACATTTTGCAGGATAATGCAAACTCATTTTATTTCGTCGGTTTACTGACTCTTCAACTGCTGCGTTGTACACATCTTAAACAAAATTATTAGTTACAAAATAATGTCAGAACATACATATTAGTTTGTTTATTAGATGTATTCTACAGTCACTGAAACAGTATTATTATTTACTGGATGACGTTTCGAACAAAATTTATTTTTCATAATCATATCATCACTTATAATCGCATGACTTCGAGACTTGAATGTTATAGTTTCCTTTGTCCTCTCCTATTTGTCGTCGTAGGGGTAGTAGAATTTTCTAGATATCTGGATGGACAGGTGTTGAGTCATTCCAATTACACATATTTGCAGTTGATTCGATACATGAAGCTTTTGTTATCAATCTTTCCCTCCACTCTGTGACATTCGATTTTAAGACTGTCATCTTATCCCATCCAATCCTATTGTATTATTATTATTTCCTTTAGTTCCTAGAGGAACATAGGGCTTCAGCCATGCGTCTTCATTACGTTCGGTTCTCTGCTAGAGTCTTCACCTGGCTCCAAGTCTGCCCACACGTTTTCATCTCCTCTTCACATGATCTCCTCTAGGTCACCCTTGGACGACCAACTCGTCGCTTCCCTTCCTATTGTATGGTTGTGTTTAATTGCACTTAGTGAGTGCTACAGCTGAACTATTCCCTACATTTCTTATCTTATTTGGATCAACCAATCTAGATTTTGCTGCTTGGTTTTTATGCTCGGCTAGTTTGACATACTGCCCCTGTTCTACTAGTTTGACCTATGTATTTGACCTGACAATCATTGCACGCAGGGTATTAGATAAACTAAAATGTTTTGTTTTAAAGGTTCCACAGGATCCTTTTAACCGACAATAGGAAAGAATAAAGAAAACTATAAAACTCAAGTTTCGAAGTCGTGTGATTATAATTGATGATATGATTATGAACAATAATGAATTGTGTTCGAAACTTTTTCCTCCAGTAAATAATAATAATACTGTTTCACTCTGTGTGTATGATATCTAATGAACAAACTAATATGGAATTACTTACTACCACAGTGCCCACGTTTTGCACATATATTCATAAGTGGGAACATACATTTTCATACAGTGACTTCGAGTTATGGATAAAAAGTATGTATAGGCAACATAATTCTAAAGATGATGTCAGTAGACGAATTACTCAGCATTAAAAGATTAACTATTTATTTATACTATAATTAGATAGGAGGGGGAGGGGTAGACTTCGGATCTAACTTGGAAACAAGGATGGTCTAGAGACAAGATACAAGATAGAACAACGGAGCGAATCTATGCATATTATGATGGAGAGTTCAACAGGGTGGGAGTGAACAGACTGAACGAAGAAATATGCATTCCTTTCCAATTAGTTCCCCACCAACTGCTGGCTCTACACTAATTTATAGCTTTTTACATCAAAATTTCTATAGTTTGGTTTGTAAGGGTTAGTTATGTTTTTATGAGTTGATCACGGGTTGATATCAGTTAGAGAACCATTGGAAAACAACACGGAGTACTGGACAGCTGTTTCATCCTAGTTTGGGAATCATCGGCAGTACGCACCCACCACAGGAGGTTCGAACCCAGGACCTTCCGGTTACAAGGCAAGCTGGCTCGTATACCATTCAGCCACTGGGACCCGAATTGGTAGAAGTTAGAATTCATAGACTATTGAATCAGGTCCCAGTGGCTGAATGGTATAATCTCGTTGACTTAATGCAGATGACATAGTCCTTCTACCTAGGTGAAGACGGTAAAAAATGTAGAAGTCTTCTGAATACCTTAAGCTGAGCAGCAATCTTTGGAGGTTTAGCATGCGATACATTCCCGTCAAATATATAAGATGATGCTACAGGGCTACGGGACTACATTGACTCTCTCCTAGCTTGACAATATGCAGGAGTGAAGTGGACGGTGGCGTGTGTTAACCACTTCACTTATTTAGGGAGTTGCATTAGCCCCAACGCCCGACGGGTTGATATCTGACGAAATTTCAACACGCATACAGAAGGGTCGATTGGCATTTGCCTACTAACTCTAACGCCATCTGTGGCGTAGATGTGATATCCAGCTTTCGACCAAAAGACATGTCAGGTGCTCAGAAGTTCTTTCCATCCGCCTTTATAGCTAGCTAGCTGTGGCACACTGCCAGTGAAAGTGGAAGACATGAAAAGACCGGTCAAGTATCTTTGATCGTAGGTGTCTGCATTCTATCTCCCGTGTTAGATGGGCTTCGGTCGAGTGCTAGGTAAGGAGAGAAAGTCAATCGACGAGGTTGTGAAGCAGCTGCATCGATTGAGATGGTTAGGGCATGTGTTACACATGCATTGCTAACTATCTCCTTCCTTGACAATGGGCATTGTTAGCTGACTGACATAGGATAACCTTGGAAAAGAACTAGCGGTGGTGATGGTCAGACCGAAACATGGCTTCATCAGTCAATGAAATTCACAGCAGTTAGTTTAAGCCAGCCAGCCACGTAGAGAGGTGTAGACTGCCTGACTAGACTGGTCGGGGTCCTCGGGATGGTAAAAAACAATAAAGGTTGGAGACAATTAGTGGCTCAAAATCGTCGTTGCCAATAGATTGCGTAGATGCATTCACTCTTTGTGATTTGTCATATCTAGTGAAACTCTATTGTTCTTGCATATTTGTATGCTTTTTCCCTCACTCACACTTCTGTTTATCATCTGTCTTTTGTCGAGTCTGTCTGTACTCTCTTCTCGTGGTTTGTGTCGTATATGGAGGGAGTGTAGCAACTCGAACTGGTGTACATCTGTGCAAAGTTCTACATCGAAACCAGTCAATCAGCACGCCGCCCCCCACCCCCAAGACTCATTACAACTTCTCTCAATAGAACTCTTCAGGTAACGTCCATGTTGTAGTGAGTCATCAAGTGAGAACTAGATTAATTTTCAAGTGATGGCTTGCAGGGATATTCGATTGAGTTTAATTTTGATCATCCTGGGGTTCAAAACAAAGTTCCAAAGAAGGAAGAAACAGCTGAGTTGAGAACTCTTTGCTGATTTTCAATGGTTCTCTAACTGAAATCTATTCGCGATCAAAAAATTGAGATAATTCTTTAATTTAATTATAGATTCATATAACTGTAGAACCACCTGATGCTCACTAGCGACTCGTCCTAGTCAGGAAGGTAGTTACCTGGGTTCTAGTGAGAAGTTGTGAGCAGTGGGGTATAGTAGGTCGGGTGTGAGGACAAATACTCGCCAGAGATGACATTAACTAATGGTCGCTCTATATCGTGGATTGGCAGAAGTTGGAATTCATTGGATTGGGTCCCAATGGCTTAATGGTCTACGAGCTATCTCGCCTCATAACCGGAAGCTCTTGGGTTCGAACCGTGGCGGTTGGTGCGTTGGTGAAACCAATCAAATCGAATCCCTGCAAACCAACATTAGAAAGAAAGTCATCACAAAAGGGGAATATTCTCCTTTCTGTTCACTCATCATGCCATCTAATTCACGTGGGAATCAGGGATGAGCTCGGAATTCCATTTTTTGGATCTGATAGTTCTCTTTAAAGATCGATCTACAGGAAACCAACATGGGATGGGCGATACAAGAATTTTCATAGTTGGGTCCCTTTGAGAAGAAAGAGAAACCTGATTCACTCCTTATCCTCAAGAATTAAGAAGGATATGTTCCAGTGATACAATCGACGGGGAGCTGGAGGAACTCAGACAAGTCCTCATAGAAAATGGATATCCTCCAAGATTCATCGAGAAAAACATGAAGTTAAAGCAAAAGCCTGGAAGAACCCAGAGGTGGTGCCGAAGAAACTGCTATTTATGAACGTTGAATTCAAAGGTGATACCTGCGGTAGCCGAGATCCTGAAGAACTGCCTATGCAGATCACTGAGAAAAGCCTTCTTTGCGGCTGAGCTACGGATCAATTTCTACAGCCGATAAATAATCAATGGATGTGTAGAGGATAAACTGCGGCTTTACACGGGCCACTTCAGTGTGTGTTGGTTAATTCACCTGCTCGTGTGGAGCTAGCTATATTGGCCACACACACAAAGCTCACACTTTCCAAACACATCCCTGAACATTATCCGGTATGATTAGCAAAAGGACAATGCAAAACAGTTAGTTACTAGCTCAATTCCCGAGCACTTGGTGAACTCAAGCCACGCAGCTCCACCAGAGTTGTCTTTCAATATTATCTACAAGGTGAGGCCAAATGGTACAAAGGGCATCAGGTTTCAGCATTTATGTATGACGACGGAGGCGTTGGTAATTTGTCAATACAACTCCGAACTCTGTATACACAAAAAGTTTGTCCAGTCTCTTATTCTACCATGGTCTTAACCTCTTCACTAGTCGTTCCGTGTAAAAAATTTTAATTTTTTAAAATTTTCCATTTTACTTTTAGTTTACTTTTACTTCAATAATTAATTCACTATTATCACTCTCATATGTTCCTTTTGTATATTTTCACACCCTCTTGCCACTTGTTAAATGGACACTCAACTACCGCCTTTCTTCTCACTCAATAGAAATTTTCACCTTATTAAATTTCTAACCCTTTCTTCCTTTGTGCCGTTGCTGAGTACTACGCAATGTCAGTTATTATTCTTGTTATTCTTCAGTCCTTTTTCTCACTTTGTTTACTTTATTAATTGGCCTCTCATTTCTCATAAACATCGACTTGCGATGTTGACTTGTGTGGTGGTGACCTTGGTAGAGACAACAATTAGACATATTTCTTCTGAATACATAGCCTGGGCTTGAACGTTTGGATCGCTAATGCCTCAGTTATGCCCAGACAGATGCCTTTCTTACAGGACTGGACTACGTCAACTCCTAGCTTAGTGATAGGGAGTGAAGTGATAGAACATGTTGACCACTTCACCTATTTGGGAAGTTGTATCAGCACCAACGGATTGATTGGCGACGAAATCTCAGCACGGATCCAAAAAGCTCGAGCTGCTTTCGCTAACTTACGCCATCTCTGGCGTAGGTGTGACATCCGGCTATCAACCAAGGGACGTGTGTACTGCTCAGCAGTTCGCTCCGTCCTTCTCTATGGCTCTGAAACATGGCCAATACGAGTTGAAGACATGAAAAGGTTGACTGTTTTTGATCATAGATGTCTACGATCTCTTTCTCACGTTAGGTGGTATAATAAGGTAAGTAATGTTGACGTTAGGCGTAGAGTGTTGGGCAAAGAGGGAAAATCAATCGAAGAGGCTATAAAGTTACATAGATTGAGATGGCTAGGTCATGTGCTGCGCATGCCTAACCATCGCCTCCCCCGACGGACGGGCATTACTAGCTGATATAGGTGCAGGTTGGAAAAGAGTAAGTGGTGGCCAAACAAAAACATGGCCTCATCAATCCATGAAATCCTTGACAGTTAAACTGAGTCAGGTAGGGAGGGAGATGCAGACTTCCGGGTTGGGGCCCGTCCTCGGGACTCTAAGAATCAATGGCTGGAGACAATAGGTGACATGGCTCAAAATCGTTGTCAATGGCTTACGCAGATGTATTCAGTCTCTGTAATCTTTCATATTCCTTTCTACCATTACTCATTCTGTTTCACTCTTATACTTGTCAAAACTCTATTGATTCTCCTCACTCATTTTCTTGTCTACCTTTGTGTGCTATTTGGAACGTGGCAACTCGAACTGCTGCACTTTGGTGCCAAGTTCTATGTTGAATCCAGCCAGAGAGATGCCTTGATTTCAATCCCTTTGAGAAAGAGGTTTGATCGGATCTTGTATATGACTTTGAAGGACTTTTCATCAAATGGAGCTGAATGTTCTGAATTCACCAGATGTTCGAAATATCTTAGATAATGTCACTCCTTTGTGTTCCTAGTGGAATAAAGGAGTTTCGAGCTACAAACATTAAAGTTTCAGTAGCCAGAGTTGTGTTATCCTCACGCCGCCATCCTCCAAACTTCCCTCTTTATCGGTCTTAATACCATCTAAGTGAGATTTAGGAGTGTGCGTCAGTGGCCAAGAATCGAACCCGGGACCACGTGGGGCGTGGTTGGCGAGTGTTCTACCGCTGAATCACTGATGCACACGCACAAGGAGGAGGAAGACTAACCGGGTATACGACCCAAGACCTTCAGATTACACAGCCAGCTCTTTGATTATTCAACCTTGAGAGTTTAATGAAATTCAATAACTCATAAATTCAATTTTCTGTCAATTCCATAATATACTACTGACTGGGTAATGAGAATTATTCATGCCTCATGGCATCCAACAAGTTAGTTCTAACTAGGAAGGAAATTGACTAAAGTTAAAAACTCGTGGGTTATTGAATTCCAAGCCACTGGTTGAATCGTCAAAGATGAAATAAAATCTCAACCACAAAAGGGGGATTATTCTTCTTTCTATTCACTACACTCACTCATATCTCAGTCTTTTTCTTAAAAAAAGAGAAAAAACCTAGGTATTTTACAACTCACCTTGTAGTCGTGATAAACAATAACCATTACATCCAGTACAACCATTGGGATTGATCAAGGAACAAAATGTATGCCGGCATATTTCACATTCAATTGTATTCATTCCACGTGGATGCAGGGATGTTTGACTTGGCATAGGTCGACGACAACATGCACAGAAACAATGTGATGCACCTGAAAAACAAACATTACAAAATTGACAAAAATAAAAAACTGTTATTTCAAGATAGTATCATTGAATTTCCGATAATCAATCCTTCAGACATACTATACAATTACATAGGTGTCTGCGTTCTATCTCCCATGTGAAGTGGTATAATAAGGTGAGCAATATTGAGGTTAGGCGTCGAGTGCTAGGTACGGCAGCGAAATCAGCCGACGAGACTGTGAAATTACATCGACTGAGATGGTTAGGACATGTGTTAGGTATACCTAGTCATCGCCTTCCTCGACATAAGGCAATGTTAGCTGATATAGGGCCAGGCTGGAAAAGAGCTAGCGGCGGTCAAACCAAAACATGGCTACACCAGTCAATGAAATCTACAACAGTTAGTTTAAGCCAGTCACGTAGGAAGGTGTAGACTTCCTGACTGGTTGGGGTTCTCGGGACGGTAAAAACCAATGGCTAGAAACAATTGGTGACATGGCTCAAAATCGTTCTCAATGGCTAGCGCAGATGCATCCACTCCTTGTGACTTATGATTTCCAATGAAACTGTTTTGTTCTTCCTTATTACTATTCCTTTGTCTCACACCTCTGTTTACTGTCTCTATTATGCATTTCTTCTCTTGCTTTGTGTGCTACATGGAGTGTAGCGACTTGAACTGCCGCAAATCGGTGCAAAGTTCTATGTCGAATACAGACAGACAGACTTTTGGCTGACACAGAGTTGAGTGGAGTAGTTTTGTTGGTTTGTGTGCGACATCCATTCCTAAAGGAAGGTTTGAAGAGTCTTGCAGTGATTTCTGGGATGTCATCTTTATATATGATAGGGCGATTTTCTTTGTGCTTTCCTTAGCGACGTTTGATTTGGTAGGTTGGCTTGGAGGTATATGTCTTTTGATGAAGTTCCGTGGATATTCATCCATTCTTTTGGAAGACATCCATGAGATATCTTTCTTCAATTTTCCTTAATGTGGGAGGGCTGCAATGAGTCTTGGCTGGCTCTCTTGACTAGTGTTTGTATACAATTCCTTTTGTGTGTGTTATTGGATTGTTGCTGTTGTAATTCAGTATTTGGTCTGTGTGAGCTGATTTTCTATAAACTTGAGTTTCTAATTCCCCTGTGGTTGTTCGCTTGACTAAGATGTCCAAAAATGGGATTTTGTTCTCGGATTCCTCTTGTCTTCCGGATTTGACGTCGTCGAGAACGCCGAAAACGTTGAAAAGTTATGAGTTTTGTCGAAATCGTTTTGTTTGATCATTACAAATGTGTCATCTCATCAACCCACACAGATCAAATACTCAATAACAACAGCAACAATCCAATAACACAAAATAATTGAGCGATCAAAGAATATCCTTTTCGATAATTTCCTCCTCTTCTGGCTCTACAATTATATATACATATATGTTTATATACATAGAATATTCTAGAATAGTAGTCAATAACAATGTTGGTGTGTTTTTAAATAATATCGATTTGTAAAGTAAGATCACAGTGGAATTACAGTTCATTAAAGATGCTTAAATAATAATAATAAAAATATAATAGCAAATAGAATATCAACTAAAATTAAGGAAATTCTACAAAAGTTGAGGATCATTCGAACCTAGATGGCCAAGGTAAGCACAATGCCCGAACCAGCTTCTTTTGGAGACATAAATTAGGCTTCCTAATGTGGATCCCAACAGCCAGCCTCAGCAATATGTAGTAAACGAACTCTTAAGGTGAAGTTAAGATTAGTTGGTTGGTATGCGGTAAATGACTTTGAAAGCCACCTCGTTGACATCAATCCTGTGTTCTGTCTGTATCCACAAGATGCGATAGAATAGTGTTGCAATAAATTTTACTATTGAGAAAGTAAAAGACTCTAGTATTTCATTTATAGACGTCCTTATGACCAGAAAAGAGGACGGCTCATTAAGAAGTGTGTAAAGAAAACCTACATCAACGGGTCAGTATACTCATCTGTTTCAGCTTCGTGCCTTTGAAATACAAACGCAATCTGATAAAGTGCTTGGTCCGCCACAGAGCAAGAGCAATCTACTCGGATGAATATCTTGATGAGGAACTTAATAATATTAAACAGTTGCTAAGTGAAAATGGTTATCCTGAAAAGTTTATTGATAAGAATATGAATCTAAAATCAAAGCAGCCCAAGATACCAACAGTTCCTAAAAAGGAAGGCCTTATTCTTACAAATGCAGTTCCTTGGGAACAACATCAGCGAGATACTGACACACCGCTCTTAGAAATGCGGTAAAAAGAGCATACCCTGCTGCTGAACTACACTGTCTTCAAAACCACTCCTCTTATGCGTTCGAGGGTAAAAGGCAAACTGCCTAATTTCGCCTCTTCCATGTGTATTTACAAATTTAACAGCTCCTGTGGAGCCAGTTAGTTGCATAAACCATACAATTAGGCGTGTTTCTCGTCGAATTTCCGAACACCACCACCCTGCATAGTGGTTAAGTAAAGGACAAACAAAATCTATTCGTAGTGCTATTCTATCTCATCTTGTGGATACAGACAGAACACAAGATTGATGTCAACGAGGTGGCTTTCAAAGTCATTTACCGCATACCAACCAACTAATCTTAACTTCACCTTAAGAGTTCGACTACTAAATATTGCTGAGGCTGGCTGTTGGGATCCACATTGAGAAGCCCAATTTATGTGTCCAAAAGAAGCTAGTTCAGACATTGTCCTTAGCCGCTTGGCCATCTAGGTTCGGACGATCCTCAACTTTTTGTAGAAATTTCCCTAATTTTTACTTGATATTCTATTTGCTATCATATTATCATTATAATTTAAGCATCTTTAATGAACTGTAATTCCACTGTGATCTTACTTTACAAATCGACATTATTTAAAAAGCACACTAATATTGTTATTGACTACTAATCTAGAATATTCCATGTATATAAACATATACGTATGTAATCGTAGAGCCAGAAGAGGAGGAAATTATCGAAAAGGATATTCTTTGCTCGCTCAATTATTTTGCCTTTTTCTATAGATGTCTGAATGAATATTTTCGCTATACTGAAATCCAATAACACACAAAAAGGAGTTGTATACAAAATAATAAATTTTTAAAAAAAAAGGCATATAGGGGTTTTTACGAGTTGATCACGGATTGATATCAGTTGGAGAACCATTGAAAACCAGGGAGTACTGGACAGCTGCTGTTTCATCCTAGTTTGGGAATCATCGGTAGTACGCACCCAGAATTGGTAGAAATTAGAATTCATGAGCCATTGAATCGGGTCCCAGTGAGTGGCTGAATGGTATACGAGCCAGCTTGCCTTGTAACCGGAAGGTCCTGGGTTCGAACCCTGACAGTGAGTGCGTACTGCCAATGATTCCCAAACTAGGATGAAACAGCAGCTGTCCATTACTCCCTGTGGCTGGTTTTCAATGGTTCTCTAACTGATATCAATCCGTGATCAACTCGTAAAAACATAACAAACCCTTACAAACCAAACTATAGAAAATATAGGGGTTTATTTTAGGTTTTAAAACATACATTCATTATCTCGTGAAACAGGATTCCCAACACCAGCAACCCTACTACTACTACCGGCACTCTGATCACGACGACCATTTGGCGGCACCCATGAACAAAAAATACAACCAGTGTTAAACGGGGTATACACCGACGATGACATAATTGGTATAGCAGTATTATTCATTGGATAATTGACAGTAATAGTAGGATTAGCAGTAAGTTCATTGACAATTGATGATGATGCAGTATTGGCCAGGATAATTTCATCAACGTTAATAAGTGAAATATTAGAGGAAGTAGTAGCACCAGACCCAGCCCCAGCACCACCGCCACCACCAGTGTGTAATAAACCATTACGACCAATACCTCCAGTGACTGCATATCTTTCTCTTTGTCTAATCAAACAAAAAGAAAAGAGAGGGGAAAAAAGAAAAGTAAAAAAAATCAACATAGGACATGAGAAAAAATATCTACCTAGAGTTAACCTCGCCTAACACCGGTAGTGTACTCGAAAACAGGGAGGAAGAGTAGATGTACCATTAGCAACCCTGCCCAGCCCCCCACCTATCACCCCTGAAAAAAACAACTTCAACGCTACTCAAACTTCAAGAGTCACGTTTAAAACCCTAAGTTCCACTGTGAACCCAAGGGAATGATAATAAATAAAAAGTAACCTGACAGACTGGTTACAAAATACAACTTTGCGTCGGTGGCACACCGGTTAGGACTCTCAGCGACCATGCACACGGTCCGGGGTTCGATCCCCAGCCGAGGCGCACCTGATGTAAATTGGTCGGCCTGCGAAATTCGGGCTACCGGTGTCACATGCTGAAAATTCCATACTTGTACCAATAATACAGTGTGAAATCAAGCTATAATCAGAAAAAGTTGAGCAGTTCGAGTTGCCACACTCCTTCCATGTAGCACACAAAGCAAGCGAGGAGTGTAAAAACAGACTCCGCAAAATAAACATAATAAACAAAAGTGTTATTGAGGGGAAAAAGAATAGTAATATGGAAGAAGAATACAGTTTTAGTGGATATGATTGGCAAATCACATAAAGTGAGTACATCTACGCCATCATCGACAACGATTTCCAGCCATATCACCAGTTGTCATCTCCAGTCTTCATTGGTTCTTACCATCCTGAAGATCTCAACCAGGAAACAAGTCAACACTTTCTTATATGGCCGGCTTAGACTAACTGTTATGGATTCCTTTGTCTGATGAAGCCATGCTTTGGTTTAACCACCACTGGATCTCTCTTTTCCAACCTGATCTATCCTATATCAGCTAATATTGACCGTCAAGGAAGGAGACGACTAGTCATGCGTAAAGCATATCCTAACCATCTCTGTCGATGTAACTTAACAACCTCGTCGATTAACTTTCTCTTACCCAAAATCTCCTAAATAACTTGAGAAGAAATCTTCGAATGTTTCGCATGTGACTCGTTCCTGTCAAATATAAGATGATGCTACAGGATTGGACTGCATAGACTTCTACTTTAAAGATAGTGGGGTAAAGTGGTCGGTGGTGCATGTTGACCACTTCACTTATTTAGGAAAATTGCATTAGACCTAATTAACTGACTCCCGAAGAAAAATCCCAACACGAATGCAAAAGACTCATATGACATTTTCTAACTCACATCATCTCTAGCGTAAATGTCATATCCGGCTATCGATCATGAAAAGATGTGTGTACTGTGTAGCAGTTCATTTCTTTCCTCCTTCATGACTGGCTGTGAGACGCGGTTATTGAAAGTGGAAGATTTGAAAAGACTAGCTATTTTTGACCACAGATGATGTTTGTATTCTATATTCCGTGTTAAGTGGTGTAATACAGTAAGTACTATATTAAGTGTCAAGCCTAGTTTTCAGTAAGGAGAGTAAATCAATCGATGAGGTTCTGTCAAGCTACATTGATTAAGATGGCCAGGTCATGTGTTTCGCATACCAAACAAACAATCGTCTTCCTCAACGAGTAATGTTAGCCGACAATGAATAAAGGTTGGAGAAGGGTTCGGGGTGGTCAAACCAAAATGTAGCATTAATGCATGAAATCTTTGAGCCAGCTATGTGGAGAGATGTAGGCTACCTGTTCATGGTCATTTTCAGGAAGCTAAGATCCAATGACTAGCAACTATTGGTGTAATGGCTCAAAATCGTCGTTGTCAATGGCACAGATACACTCACACGCTCTGTCAACGTCTATATCCAGTCAGCTCCAGTGTAGGTGGAGCAGGGTTCCAACTCATGAACTATTGGTGAAGCAATTAAGATACTATTCATGAACACGACAGGATGACTGATTGACTGACTGGTTTCAGCAGAGAACTTTGCACACATGTGCACCAGTTCGAGTTGCCAGACTCCATTTCATGTTGCACACAAAGCAAGAGAAGAGAGTAAAGAGAGGTTCAAAAGAGAGATAGTAAACAGAAGTGTTAGTGAGGGAAAAAGAATAGTAATATGGAAGAGCAATAGAGTGGTATTGGATTTGACAAATCACCACAGAGTATGAATTTGAGCCATATCACCAATTGTCTCCAGCAGTCATTAATTCCTACCATCCTGAGGACCCCAACCAGTCAATCAGGCAGTCTACACCTCCCTACGTGGCTGGCTTTAACTAACTGTTATGGATTTCATTGACTGATGAATCCATGTTTTGGTTTGACCACCACTAGATTTCTCTTTTCCAACGTGGTCCATCCTATATCAGCTAACATTGCCCAGTGTCGAGGAAGGTGATGGCCAGGCTAGGCATGCGTAACGCATGTCTTAACCGTCTCTATCGATGTAACTTCACAACCTCGTCGATTGATTTCTCCGCCTTACCTAGCACCCGACGCTTAACAGGATGATCTGTGCAATTACTACACTGCCATATTTAACTATTCACAAACACATGTTCACCTACAAACTGAAGAATTCACAAACAAACACACTTCTGGAATATAAGCACATAACTTCGTATCGAGAAATATATTTTGAAAGCAGGAACTCAATAAGAACGGAGCTGATGGTATAAAACGCGCTAAGCCACTCACTCAACAGTGGCAAATACGACTGCGAGTGTACCCTTAAGGGAAGAGATGAGAATAAAGAGAAATAAGTAAAAAACAAATAGCATAGACACTATGACTTATAATCCTCTAACCCAACGACGAATAGCTGCTACCTTCTTGATATGGCAGTGGTCGATCGGGCACGCATATCGCACAATGACCCAACGACCTACAACACTGACGGGAACTAATGTTCCTGTAGGTCCCTGTTATGCCAGAAAAGTTGTTTGAATAACGATTGGGACTAAGAGCAGTTACTACCATAGTGTAGTTTGTTTACACTGTGTTGGCGGTATATGTAAGTGTTGTATGATAACAGATCCCAGGGAACAACTGCTTGAGGTCGGTCACACACACGACCGGTCTGAACTGGTTTCTTGGATTGCTTCCGTATTAGTAAATTTGCCGCCAGTTACGGACCACCGTGGGGTAAGTAAGGATGTACAGTTTTTGGAGTCGACCTTTTCTAATCCCCCCTCTCAAAAGTGGAGAGACAGCACAGCTGGTTGGCATGCTGGTCATCTGAATGAGGGAAACACCTTACTGCCGTTTCATCCCTGTTCCCCAGCAGTACGACTTCGCCCACGGGAACAACAGTTCTAGCCAGTGTAGCTTATTGGGTCATTGTGATATGCAAGCCTGACCATCACGTCAAGGTGGCAGCTTTCGGTCGGGTGAAGTGTGTGGCGACTCGAACTGCTGCACATCGGTGCAAAGTTCTACGATGAAACCAGTCAGTCAGTCAGCAGTGGTATATGTGATCAAAGGTGTACTGACGGAGAATAAAGGATGTGACAGCACTAAGGTGTTTCCCTCAGATTGCTAACATGCCAACAATGCTGCGCCTCTCCGCTTTGGAAAGTTGGGGGAAGGAGTTAGAAAAGACTGATTCTGAAAATTGTAAATCCCGACAGTTGTAAAAAGGAAAATTTTCTTTTCGACGAAGTCACCAACAAGGAGTTTGCACTTTCGTGTATTTACAGGATATAATTGAGAAAGTTCCAGAACTCTATTTCCGGTCAAAGGTCATATTAATAAAACTACAAAGTGTAATAAACAGGAAGATCGGATAAAAAGATATAGTAGGATCATAATTACTGGAAAACGTGACTGTGTTTTGTGCAGTTAGAGATTAAAAACCTAGTAGTAACAACATAGGCAGGAAGTTCGGATAAAAAACATAATAATGCAGACAGGAATTAAAAACGTAAAAATAACAGAAATAAACAGGAAGGCTGGATAAGAAAGGTAATAGTATAATAATTATTGGTGGGACTGACTTTTCATGATAGCCATGGTAGGGACAACGATTGGGAGTATTTCTCTTGAAAACATAGAATGGCCTTGAACTTCTGGATCGCCAGTACGCCAGCTATTCGCCACCAGATGCCTTGATTTCACTCCTTTTGATAGAGAGAGGTTTGATCGGATCTCGTATATGACTGAAGGATTTTCTATCAAATGGAGCTGAATGTTCCGAATTCACCAGATGTTTTGTTACCGAACCACATACATAGTTGCATTCTCCCTTTGCTAACCAGCTAGGCTGGATAGTGTTCCCGAGAGCGTTTTACAAGCGGACACATGGTACGATCAATATACTGGGCTCCACACGAGCAAGTGAATTGGTATATGCAATGCATGTTAAAGTGGTGGCCTAATGCAACAGCTTATCTTTCACGTGCTGGTTGGATAGTTTCTTGCAGGAAAATGTCACTCGTAGGCTGGCAGAGAAGTGTGTTCTACTCAGAGACTTCAAAAGCCGTCTACGGAGAAGTCCTGCCACAGTATCACTTTTAAATTCGAGATTCAGCGGCGGGATCTTTTTGGGTGTGACGTTTTCTTTGATTTCAGATTCTTGTCTATGCCTGTGAGTGGGAATCCATTTTCTATATCAAGGTCCCTTGGAGATTTCACAATTCTTCATCAACGATTCCTCAGTGCGAATTTTCCAGATCCTCAAGGAAAGAGAGTACATGAAGTTTCTCATTTTGCTTAGAGGTACACAACTATGAAAGTTGACAGACTATCCGTTCCATGTGAGGATTTTGTAGATGGATCTTCTCAGAGAGTTCTCAGCATTTTTTCGCAGTTGAACATAGAGAAAGTGAAACATTGCGTCAGATTTAACTTCTAGAGTGAAGTCAATGTTTGGGCAGGCGTTATTGAAGGTTTGAAGTAGGTTTCTGAGATCCAAATTCTGACTTCCTCACCCATTTACTAATATATACACACGACTATACAGCCTAGTTGATGACTTCATCGAGAAGAAAATTTTGTTCTCTGCAAGCGTCATTTTAGTAATTCCTATGATCTAATGTGTAAATATGCGTACCCCAAATATTCATCAACCTTATTCAACAGCTGTACGACAACGGAACATGTCAAGTCATCCACAACGGAAATCTCAGCGAGGCTTCTGGAGTAAACACAGGAGTCAGACAAGAGTGCTTGTTATCACCAATGATATTCCCAATTGTGGTGGACTGGATTATGCGTCAGACAGTGGGAAACGAGAAGACAGGGAGGGATATCCTGGACCGACGTGAAGAACCTAGAAGACCTGGATTTCGCGCGTGGATGATTTATGTTTGACGTCACACAAAATCGAAGACTTACAAGCAAAAACCGACAAACTGGTCGGAGAAGCAACCAGAGAAGACAGGACTGCAGGTGAACATAGACAAGACGGAGGTTATGAAAATAACCAACCAACAACAACAACAACAGCATCAGCAACATCCACCGCCAATCACCATCAACGGGAGGGATTTGAAAGAGGTTACTTCATTCACTCATCATCTAGGGAGCATTGTCTCAACTACAGGAGGAACGGACGAGGATGTCAAATAGAGCGAGAATCGGGAAGGCGAGAAACACATTCATCAACCTGAAACCAATCTGGAAATCTTCGTCACTCAGCCTGCATCAACAACAAAATTCGGATTTTCAATACAAACGTCAAGTCAGTCAGTTCTTCTATACGGATCAGAAACTTGGCGGGTATGTCACAAAGAATATTTCCAACAGCCTGTTGCAGACCTTTATCAACAGCTGTCTTCGCTGGCTGTATACTGAAGATCAGATGGCCGGAAAGAATCACAAACAAGAAACTATGGGAAGAAACAAAATAAGAACCAATCGCCCAACAAATATGCAGGAGGAAGTGGAGATGGATTGGACACTCGCTGAGGAGGTCGCTGGGTGACATCGCGCGTCAGGCCAACGCTCGAGTGGAACCCGAAAGGGAAGCGGCGAGTGGTTCGTCGGTGCAAGGGTGACATGGAGGAGATCGTGTGAAGAGGAGTTGAAACATTATGGACTAACATGGATGCATGTGAAAAGTACAACAGAAGACAGAAGCAAGTGGAGGCGTGCAGTTGAAGCCCTATGTTCCACTAGGAACCCAAGGGAACAATAATAATGTGTAAATATCCCGAGTCACCTTGCAGTGGTCCACATAGCCAGTGGTAAGATCTTTATAAGGGAAAGCAATACAGAAAACCAATTCAATCAGCAGATGTATAGTTCCATGAGCTCTGTGGTCAAGCAACACTAATAGTCTTTCGATTTCTGAGGTACCCCCCTCCCCCAAAAAAACAGCGAAAAGACTTCTAATCCCACTCACTCATACACACACACACAAACACGGAGAGCCACAAATACACACACGAAACTCACCTTCTATTTCGCCTATTGTATCGACGATTTTGATAATTATTTGTAGGCTAAAAGAAGAAAATTCAATTTGAAAAAATTATTACTTAAGTATTGGTTTGTAGGGCGGGGGGGATTTGATTGATTGATTGATTGATTACAGGATATCATCATGAACTGACATCGGTTAGAGAACCATTGGAATTGGAAGAAGTTGGGATTCATGGACTGGCCTACGAGCTCGCTGGCCTTGTAACCAGAAGGTCCTGAGTTCAAGCCCCGACAGTGGGTAGCTGCGTCCAGTTGAAGAGTCCCAAACTAGGACGACAGAAACAGCTGTCCAGGACTCCATAGCTGGTTTTCCAATGGTTCTCTAACCGATGATGTCAGCTGATGATGAAATCCAGTAATCAATTATTATTGATTAGCACACACACACAAAAGCACACACATAGGCACAAACTTACAGTTGCCAATCTTGTTATTTCTTGTTTAATTTCATTTTGTTCTTCGACAGACTTTGATTTCTCTGGATATTTACGAAGAAACACTTCGACCAAGTCATTCAATTGATGATTTTTAGCATAAGCTGACACATGTTTACGACACTGTAAGAGAAAACACCATCACATACATGCATTGTGTGCATATATAAAACACTTACCATTGGACATTCCGATTTCTGCCATTTTAACCAGCATAGTGTACAAAAACTATGCAGACATGGTTGAACACTAAAGCAAAATTTTACAACTGACTGGACATAAACATACCTACAACATTCAAAGTAGATATCTCCGCAGATCACACAAGTTAAACAAGTCTCCATTTCACTGTCTGCAGACATTGATGTTGATGCTGATGGCACCTTTATAGACTCTGTAGATGATGATGGTTGTGTTTGCGATTCCACAGGAGTTATCATCATTATCTTGACTTTATCATCACAACATTCACCGTCAACAGGATCCACCTTCGGATAATTATCATCCGATAATAGAATACAAAATCCAATTCCTTCAAGAAAAAAGAAAAACACAAAACAGAGGAGAAGTTCCATTTTCTTGACCAACGAGGTACCCAACGAGATATAGAGACGGCAAAATCATAAGATATATATATATACACAGAAAAGAGACCTGGAGGGCGGTTTATCTTAACTTCAAAAGTTTCTGCCCTATAAGTTACAAAAAAGGATTTTGGTGAGAACATTATTTGATCGTGTTAGGAAGGAAGCTGTGTTTTCAGAAGAAAAGATTGAGGAAGAGCTATCCATCCATTGTGGAGAAATGCCTACGCGACAACGCGGTTACCCACAAAAGTTCACTGACAAGTATGGTGGGAGACGTCATGTTGAAAAAGTGAAAATCAGCACAGTAGAGAAAAAGCCTATCTTTCTGCAGCTTGCATTCAAAGGTGATGATACTGCGTCAGTAGAATAAGATGCAGACTGAACGCTGCCCTGAAAAGAACATATCCAACCGCCAAGCTTGTATGTGTTTATCAAACAACTAGTTGTTTGAGACAATCAAAAGTGGACAAATACCCACCTCATGTTACCTGCAACTGTGTCTACCAATTAACATGTACGTGCCAAAGCACATACATCGGAAGAACAGAGAGAAGGGTTATTGTCCGCATTTCTGAACACATACCAAAGAACCTGAGACTGAAAGGTCCACAAGTATTAAACAGTGCAATTGCGCGTCATCTATTAGACACTGGTCATAATGTAGACAACTTGAAGTCATTCAAAATAATCAACAAGCAAAAGAAACCTAACTTGCTACGATTTGCTGAAGCAATTGCTATCAGACGACTTAAACCAAATCTATGTACGCAGAAAGAGACAGTGGTGAATCTTGCACTGCCCTGGTGACAAATATATATATATATATATATATATACAATAGCTTGTTTTTGTTTTCAAGCCTAATTATTGTATAAATATTTATAAACTGTCAAAGATTGATAACAGTTCATTTTAATTATTCTATAAATAGTCAGTGTTTGTAACTCTTAATTAGTTAAATCATTCCGGACTAATGTTGCTTTTACACTTCCTACCACTTACTCCTTGTGATCGTGGAAAATTATGTTCAAATCTTTAATGTAATGTAATTCATATTTTTCATCGTTCAGGTTGTAACCAGTTGAGAAGAATCCTCGAAATAATAAAAGATGAGCTCATATTATCCTGGTACAATTGTTTTTCTTACTTTGTTCAAGTTTATTAATGGGAAGAATTGCATGAAGTTTTTGAAAAAACAGTTTATCATGAACAGACAAGAACAAGTAGAACTTACTTTTACTCTCATCCACTTCATCCCAGACAAGATGAAAGTAATCCCCGTTATGTACTGTGATACAATCTTGATTCAGCCATTTACCATTATTACATCGTGTCCCTTTGTCTTCACTACAATCATACAACCAGATCACATTGTCTGGATCTTTGATAAGCATACAATGTGAAGCTGAGACATTGTCATCTTTGACGTGAATGGAACATTCTAATTAATGAACAACAAAAATAAAAGATATAAAAATGGTGTAAAAAGAAATATGACTTCTTAATCAAGTCTGAAATGCAGAGGTTGAATGTAATATATATATAACCAGAAATTCATATCCTGCAAAAATGCTTTTAATATGTGGAAACCATTTAAGGGGAAATCACTGATTACTTATTATTATTGTTCCCTTGGGTTCCTAGTGGAACATAGGGCTTCAACTGCACGCCTCCACTTGCTTCTGTCTTCTGTTGTACTTTTCACATGCATCCATGTTAGTCCATAATGTTTCAACTCCTCTTCACACGATCTCCTCCATGTCACCCTTGCACCGACGAACCACTCGCCGCTTCCCTTTCGGGTTCCACTCGAGCGTTGGCCTGACGCGCGATGTCACCCAGCGACCTCCTCAGCGAGTGTCCAATCCATCTCCACTTCCTCCTGCATATTTGTTGGGCGATTGGTTCTTATTTTGTTTCTTCCCATAGTTTCTTGTTTGTGATTCTTTCCGGCCATCTGATCTTCAGTATACAGCCAGCGAAGACAGCTGTTGATAAAGGTCTGCAACAGGCTGTTGGAAATATTCTTTGTGACATACCCGCCAAGTTTCTGATCCGTATAGAAGAACTGACTGACTTGACGTTTGTATTGAAAATCCGAATTTTGTTGTTGATGCAGGCTGAGTGACGAAGATTTCCAGATTGGTTTCAGGTTGATGAATGTGTTTCTCGCCTTCCCGATTCTCGCTCTATTTGACATCCTCGTCCGTTCCTCCTGTAGTTGAGACAATGCTCCCTAGATGATGAGTGAATGAAGTAACCTCTTTCAAATCCCTCCCGTTGATGGTGATTGGCGGTGGATGTTGCTGATGCTGTTGTTGTTGTTGTTGGTTGGTTATTTTCATAACCTCCGTCTTGTCTATGTTCACCTGCAGTCCTGTCTTCTCTGGTTGCTTCTTCGACCAGTTTGTCGCTTGTTTTCGCTTGTAAGTCTTCGATTTTGTGTGACATCAAACATAAATCATCCACGCGCGAAATCCAGGTCTTCTAGGTTCTTCACGTCGGTCCAGGATATCCCTGTCTTCTCGTTTCCCACTGTCTGACGCATAATCCAGTCGAGTCCACCACAATAAGGAATATCATTGGTGATAATAAGCACCCTTGTCTGACTCCTGTGTTTACTCCAGAAGCCTCGCTGAGTTTTCTGTTGTGGATCACTTGACATGTGCCATTGTCGTACAGCTGTTGAATAAGGTTGATAAGTATTTGGAGTATGCCGTAGTACTTGAGTAGTTTCCAAATTACTTCGCGGTCAACGCTGTCGAAGGCCTTCTCAAAGTCACTGATGGTAAGCAGATAAACAATATTCCGTATTCTTCTGATGTATGTACTCTTAATAAATTTTTTATTTATTCTCCCTCAAATTCCATGCTTCCCAGCATCACTAGAGTTAATCATAGGCCGCTTTCCACGTTTTAACACAGATGATGTTCAAAAGTGCCTTAAGTCTCTGAACCCTTCCCAAAGCTTAGGTCCAAATTATGTACCTAGTATTATTTTTTGAAAATGTTCTGATATTCTGTGTCCCCCTCTCACTGATCTATTTAGTAAATTTTTTTCCAGTAATATTGTGCGTTCGATGCCATAATCGCGTGAGTAATTCTGAGGTTCGGCGGCGTGTGTTTGAACACAGTGGAGATCACCATTCATTGAGCGTCGTCATCTGGAAACACCAGCTCCGGTGGCTTGGACATGTGCTACGAATGTCATCCCAGAGGCTTCCGTACACGTCTCTGTTCGCTAGCCCTGGGACGGGATGGAAAAGGCGGAGACGTGGTCAGTCCATGACGTGGCGTCGTGGGATGAAGGATATTTGTGCTAGATTAGCATCGGTCGGTGCGTCACGACTCCCTGGTTGGGGTCCGCAAGATAGCTCGAATCGATGGCTCGAAACGTTATCGGATATGGCCAAGAATCGTAATCAATGGCGAACGTGTTGCAATTTCTTTCTTTCTTCCTTTCCTGATGATAGTTAACGAATACTCTTTGAACTTGTTAAACATGACTGTTTTCCTTCCAGATGAAGTTCTTTATCCGTTTTCTACTTATATTTTTACTTTTAATATATGTTGTTTTATTATTGTGTGGCGCATCTTTCTTGGTGCCATATTGTACCAAGTTTTTTCTGCGTTTAAATAATAAATAAATAAATAAATAAATAATATTGTGCCTGCCGTTTGGAAAGACATTAGAGTTATAACTATACCTAAATCATCTACTGGAGCATGTGTCAAATTTAGACCCATTGCTATTACCTCTCCTTTTTTTGAAAACTATGGAGAAATTACTTTTACTTAGTCTTGTACCCTCGCTTAAATCTTTTAATGACTCTAAACAATTTGCCTATAAGCACAGTAGAAGCACTCTAGATGCAGCTGCCGTATTATATCATAACATTGCTTCCAGTCTAGACAAGGGGACTAAATTTGTTCGTTGTGCCTTCCTAGACTATACATTTGCTTTTGACTCGGTCCCTAGGGACATCTTATTAAATAAACTTGCTGCAAGTCAAACAGAATATTGGGCTGTTAACTGGTTACAAACCCTATTTCTCAGAAAGAAAGCAGTACACCGTGTATAAAGGGAAGTCTTCCACTTCATTACCTACTGAAACTGGTGTCCCTCAAGCCGCTGTCCTTTCTCCCTTTCTTTTTTCTTTCTTCTTACATGACTTGCCTCACTTTGATGAAATAAACTTTGTGAAGTACGCTGATGATTTAACAGTTTCAATGGCTGTCAACTGCCAACTAGATTGTACCAAAATAAATAGCTTTCTGTCGGGAGTCAGTAAATGGTCTGAGTCTAACAGTCTTAAACTGAATCCTTCTAAATGTCAAACTGTTAATTTCAGCTTAAGATGGAAAAGACAGTTAAAAGAAGCCGTCAATTCTCATGACAGTTGTGACTGACGACGATAATATAGGAATTAAATCAGAAATTAAGGATCTTGGACTTATTCTCTCTTCTGATCTCTCCTGGTCTTCCCATGTCTCAGCAATCTCCAGTAAAATATTCTGCCTGACATTTTACATTAAAAAGTTAAAGCACTCGGGTATAACTCAACCCCTCCTCTTACAGTTCATAAACTCTTGCATCCTACCTATTCTTCTTTATTGTTCACCATTATTCTTTCCTGGTTTGCTTAAAAGGGACTTTGTCACAATTCATAGAATGCTGAAGACTGTCAGCAGAGTGAGTGGTGTCCCAGTGGACTACATAGTTAACGTCGTTGTCGATAGGCATTTGACTTCGTGCAGTATATTTGCCAAAGGGATTTTGTCTGACTTGGAGCATCCACTTCACCTTCAGCTTTCACCTTGCATCTCCTCAGGTAGAACAAGAAGTAACTTCAGAAAACTGTATGCTCGCACGTCTAAGTATAAAAATTCTATGACACCATACTTAGTACGTATTTATGTGATGAAAATAGTGTCAGGCAAGAATTAAGTAACCTTTTTTCATCTAGTAAATAAACAACAACATCCTTATATACCTTCAAGTTTTACTTTTATTATTTCTATTATACTTATGGTCCTGTTGCTTCTTTGTTTTACTCTCAAAATTGCAAACACCAACTTATCTCTATGACTGCTGTAATCTTTGTTTTTCCCATCACCATATCATGTAAACAGAACAATATATTCGATATTTTTAAATATGCTAGGATTTCTATACCACATCGACAATGGTGTGTGAGACAAGCTCACGGCAATTTTAACATGTATTATTATTATTACCTTAGCTGCTATCATTATCCTTATTTCCATTTTATATGTTGCATGTTTTTGACATTACCCCCTATTGTAAATGTGGGAAAATTTTCTGTGTGATTAATTTTTATTTATAATTTGAGGAAATTAGATGCAATATTGTGATTAATGCTGAAAATGGCTGGCTGGCTGGCTGGATTCAACATAGAACTTGGCACCAAAGTGCACCAGTTCGAGTTGCCACGTTCCAAATAGCACACAAAGATAGACAAGAAGATGAGTGAAGAGAATCAATAGAGTTTTGACAAGTATAAGAATGAAACAGAATGAGTAATGGTAGAAAGGAATATGAAAGATTACAGAGACTAAATACATCTGCGTAAGCCATTGACAACGATTTTGACCCATGTCACCTATTGTCTCCAGCCATTGATTCTTAGAGTCCCGAGAACTGGCCCCAACCCGGAAGTCTGCATCTCCCTACCTGACTCAGTTTAACTGTCAAGGATTTCATGGATTGATGAGGCCATGTTTTTGTTTGGCCACTACTCTTACTCTTTTCCAACCTGCACCTATATCAGCTAGTAATGCCCGTCCGTCGGGGGAGACGATGGTTAGGCATGCGCAGCACGTGACCTAGCCATCTCAATCGATGTAACTTTATAGCCTCTTCGATTGATTTTCCCTCTTTGCCCAACACTTTACGCCTAACGTCAACATTACTTACCTTGTTATGCCACCTAACGTGAGAAAGAGATCGCAGACATCTATGATCGGAGAACAGTCAACCTTTTCATGTCTTCAACTCGTATTAGCCATGTTTCAGAGCCATAGAAGCAGACGGAGCGAACTGCTGAGCAGTACACACGTCCCTTGGTTGATAGTCGGATGTCAATGCTGAAAATTCCATTCTGTATCACAAGTACTGTTTTTTGGGGAATAAAGTAAATTATTATTATCATAATTAAAAAGAGAAGAGAGAATTAGGTGAAAATGAAGAAAATGACAGCGGGGTTGGGGTGGGGGTGGAACTACCTACCTTCAGATGATCCAATAGTAATCACTTCTTGAAATAGCTCATGCATACACGAATCATGTACAGGCAATAATTTAGCCCATCGCATTGCAGATATTTCATCCTCCTCCTGCTGCTTCGTGGAACAATTCATCACTGAAGAAGTTAGCATCTCTTTCTTTTTTCAAAATTCTGAATTGAAAAGAAAACAAAAACAGACACGGAGTTCACTTTGTAAGAGTGAATGTAATTAATTAAAATCGAGTTATATATATATATATATACATATATATATATATATAAAGGCTCAATTCTCCTCAAGTTTGTCAAAGCTATCTCTATTAAACGCCTGTAACCCGATTTATGTGTTCAGAAAGAAGCAGTTATCAGTCTTTCCTTGTCCAGCCCTGGGGTAAGTGGATGTCTTTATTCTCTCTTTCATTTCATTACGCAATCTTAAGCTTTAACCTCACCCCCTTTGATATAGTGTAGTTTTGCTTGTCTCTTGTTTCTATGATTTGAGTTGAACTCAGTAAATTGTTATCTAATTTATTTGTTACTTATCCATCATCTTGCACATCTCTCGTCCTTATTACGTAACTCCCTTACCATTGTATGCATACATTTATTTTGTTTAAACTTGAACTCCCTGTGTAGAAACTATATAAGCGTAATTTTCTGAGCACTGTTCACTAAGTCCGGAACATCCTGTCAACTGACATCATGTAAAATTTGCAAGTATGTTAAAACTTTTCTGTACATTAACTTAATAATAATTTATTTAGGCTGTAACCCGCAGCAGCTGATGAGAAGCCAACGAGAAAAACAATGGTGGTACCATATTATTTTGCACAAACCTCTACTGTTGTTCTTGCTATATTCTAAAACTAATCTATCTAACAAGTTCTGATTGCGAACCAAAAGCTGAAATTGTAATCCATAGACGTCAAAATAAAAAGGGTAATGGATTTTATTTAAACTTGATTTGTCAGGAGAGGTCTAGTGCAGCAATTAATATTTTCCAAATATATTAAACAGGTTTGAGTATCTTCTTCATGATCAGACTTTAACAGACTTACGTATATGATATATATATATATATATATATATATATATTACTGATCGATTGTTTGATATGCTTATACGATACCACTTACATCAATTAGTTGCTAAGATGGATGCATAAATCAAGCTACCCTGCAGGAGCTTGGTAATTAGACAAAGACTGAACACCGTGGTCATAAAGAGTTTTTAACCAGCTGAGATCTAGACAGTTGAGAATTTGAAGTCTGTTTATCCTTTTAAGCCCTTAGAATATACGATAAATGATGTCAAATTCTACTGTATCTACCAGTTTTAATGTCCATGTGGTCACACATACGTTGGTAGGACATATCATCCTCTGCAAATAAGGCCTTTCAGAGTATACTCCTATGTGACTTCAAAAGCTAGCTGAATCCTCCGGACTTGTGAGTGGTGAAAACAGACAACCCAGTTCTTCTAATTCATATATATATGTATAAAACTTGGGCACTGTGGTAGTAAGTAATTCCATATTAGTTTGTTTATTAGATATATCACTCACAGTGAAACAGTATTGCTATTTACTGTATGACGTTTAGAGCACAATCTAGTATTGTTCATAATCATATCACTAATTATAATCACACGACCTCGAAACTTGAGTTTTACAGTTTTCTTTGTCCTCTCCTATTCATTGTCGTAGGGGTAGTAGAATTTTCCAGATATCTGGATGGACAGGTGATGAATCATTCCTATTACACGTATTCTCTCAGTTGATTCGATAAACAAAGCTTCTGTTATCAATTTCTCCCTCCACCCTATTACATTAGATTTTAAAACTGTCATTCTTATCCCATCCAATCCTGTTGTATGGTTGTGTGTAACTACATGCAGTGAGTGCTATAGCTGAACTATTCTCTAGATTTCGTATCTTATTTGGGTCAACCAATCTAGATTTCGCTAGGTTCTCATGCTCCGCTAGTCTGATTGACTGACTCTATTCTACTAATTCTACCTATGTATTTGACCTAGTGCGTCGGTGGCACAGTGGTTAGGACTCTCACCGATCATGCACATGGTCCGGGGTTCAATCCCCACACCCGATATCTGTGGTCGGCCTGCAAAATTTTGGCTACCGATATCCATGCTGAAAATTCCATATTTGTACTGAAAATACGGTGTGACATCAAGCTGTAATCGAAAATATAAAAATTAAAAAAAATCATTATGTAAAAACCTAGCAAAATCTAGATTAGTTGACCCCAATAAGATAAGAAATCTAGAGAATAGTTCGGCTATAGCACTCACTACATGCAGTTACACACAACCAACCATACAATAGGATGGGATGGGATGAAAGTTTTAAAACCTAATGTAACAGCAGAGTGGAGGGAGAGATTGATAACAGAAGCTTTACTTATAGAATCAACTGCAAATACATGTAATAGGAATGATTCAACACCTGTCCACCCAGATATCTGGAAAATTCTACTACCTCTACGACAATGAGTAGGAGAGGACAAAGAAAACTATAAAACTCAAGTTTCAAAGTCGTGTGATTATAATTGGTGATATGATTATGAGCCACAATAAATTTTGTTCGAAACTGTGTCATCCAGTAAATAATAATACTGTTTCACTCACTGTGTGTGATACATCTAATAAACAAACTAATATGGAATTACTGTGAGAATTTACCTCTTGCTTACTTTAGTACTTTATGTTCCCAATGGAATATAGGGTGGCTTCAAGCTAGAGAGCTTTGAAGTTTCGGTAGCCAGCGGTGTTTATTTTTAACGGAGTGAGGGTCACCAGCCTCACATGCACAACCTTCTCTCTATACCACTAAGATTACTATCGGCTTATCGCATTTTAAGAGTGCGTTAGCCGCCGCGGGTCGAACCACGGACTACATGCGTGGTTAGCCAAAGTTCCACCACTGAACTACTAGTACTGATGCACAACAACCATGAGAATACTGAATAGTAATTCCAATCAGAGGATGACACCAGCTATTATGCATCCAGAATTACAGGTTAACAAGCCAGGATCACAAACAACACAGTTGCAGACCGTCTTAGAAGTAACCAGAGTAGAGTCTATACCTATGGTAAAGGTATTAAGACCTAAGCATCAAATAATGATTCTAAAATGACTATGATACTACTCATTAGTAGTGCTCCATCTTACTGAGTAGGAAAGTGAATACAACTCACTGCGATCATAATTCAGTGGGTACGAATATTATAATTACAGAATTCACCACCAATCTCACAAAACCAATATGAGTTGTTAAACTATCAATGGTTAACTGTGAGGGACGATACACATGAAATTCGCCACAAAGAAAAATAAACGACAACGTCTAACTCCCATCCAACTTATCAACACCTACAAAACATGCTGTAGAATTAATGTTCATGTTTTAGATTATGAAGACACAAACACAGCACATCACTGTGTACTAAGAGAGGTACTGGACAGCTGTTTTTCCAAAGTCTCGGAATCCTCAGTAGTGCGTGCCCTCCAGGGTTCGAACCCAAGACCTCCTGGTTAAAGAGTAAGCCCGCACAACACACAGCCACTGGGACCCGACACACCTATCCACGAATTTCAACTTCTGCCAATTCGTGATGCATTTAGAGCAAAGGAATTGGCAGAAGTTGGAATTCACGAACCAATGGGGTTGGGTCCCAGTGGCTGAATGATTTACAAGCTCGTCTAGTAACCAGGAGGTCTTGAGCTCGAACCCCGGTGGGTGCGTACTATTAAGTAATGTGCCAAACAAGATTTCATAATTTGTGAGACGGCTGGGATTCTGCTCGGACATCCAGAATGAAGCAGATGTCTTAAGAGGCCATTCCTCGAGCCTTTAACTCGGAGTCTAATCCACGTGGCAGTGGAGCAGCGTTAGGAGCTATATTCCATGATTCCCAGTGACCAAAACAAGTCCATTCAGATTCTGGAGTCCATGTACACTACCACAGGTTTGTAATCAGGCTTTTTTTGAGGTTCACCTACGTAGACCTGCATGTCCATCGGTCCAATTGTAAGCGCCAAACATTTCCGTTGAGAAAAAAACACACTATTGATGTCAAACTTCAAAGGTGTATTTTCCTTAACAAAATTTGTTCAAAAGACTCAATTCAATCATTACTGCTAAGATGGATATATCTGATCAACTTCGTAATGTTATCAACCAGCTTGTTCCTTTTATACAGTACTCCGTACGATCCTTCCAATTGTTCAAAGGTAGACTACTCTTGGTGAGAATATTCCTGGAATTTAGGGTTCTGTATTACTTTTTTTGAGTCATTATTATGCAACACATGAAACCTCATCACCGCAAATACAAAAGGTTTTCTACCTTGTATTCCCTTCAAGGTTTGCAGGCAAGATACGCAACTGCTCATCCTCAGAGGGTATATGTACTGAGTCACAGTTCACTTCGCTCCTAACTTAAGCCACAATGATATTTGAAGGCTTAATTTAGATAACACAGAAAGACTACATCCCGTTGACCCTGTGTCTTCTTCCGATTACACGGGTTATTAGATCGAGCAATAATGTGAGCAATGTCCACATTAGCCATAGAGCTTTCATCACCAAGGAAGACCAGTCAACCGATCAAGTTGGTTGAAGTAGCCTAGCACATACGCCAAGCCATTGCCGTACTCAACAATAAGTTTTACCTGAAATAGGATAACATTAGAGAAGAGTTACAGTGGCCAAACGCCACTGAAGTCGATGCCTCCTGATCTGAGCACTTGTAGGGAACTGTACAGTATCCTCAGAAGATTGAGAATAAATAATTAAGGACTGTTCATGATACTGATACTTGAAATTTGTTCATAATAGTGCAAATATATTCATACCTTTTATCTACGATATATCAGTTAGTGTTAAGAAGAGCTTCCGTGGAAACACGTTCCCACTAAGCGACAACACAACAGAAGCATTGTAAACTCGATCCTTCATTTTTGTCAAATACAACCGGCAATATCTCGAGATTTGAAGTATACCCTTCCATATGATACATTCATAAGCTTTAACACACTAAATGCTGACACTCTACTTGGTAAGTTATAAAAAGCTTGTATGTGGACAGTGACCATAAGGATCTTTCACCGGCTTTCAGATATTCAGTGGGAGTGTGGTTCACTGGCTTG